AAATAGATATGTGCCTTTGTTTCATGATCTGCTTAACAATAGCGAAATGATGGCCATTTTAAGGCCGAAAATGCATCAAAATCACGTATTTTCACAATTCCAGAACCGGATCTCAGTCATGCATGGATGGATTTTGTTCAGATTTAGCACAATGTGTTGTACATATGCAGGTGCATTTCGGTCATGATCTGCTTTGAATGTATATGTCACTCAAATATGAACGGAACGGGGACGTGTCATTGACAATGACTTGTTCAGTTTTTCATTTATCTAAATTGTCTTTTTTTTTCCTGCTACTTCTGTATAATGTTTAGAATCATCATAATAATGAGAATAAATTATTCATAGCTAATCTATGATCCACTGTCAAAATAATTTAAAAGATAAACTCTGTTAAAATATGCGATACTCAGTAGGTGTTTTCGCTTTCATAAACAGACATAAACATATTCTGATGTAAAACTTGTTTTTACCTATCCTACAACTCTTCAGAAAGGAAAGATAATTACTCGACCAGATTTGACTGGTTTGAACGCTAAATCTCAACACTAAATGTGAATGTTTCTTGATTATAAATGCTTTTTAATGCCATAATAGTTTTGATGCAACATTTCACATTTTGTCATAATTTTTTGGTTAATTTTTGATCAAATGAAGAAATTTCCTTTTGATCAAAATTGTTAAAAAATTATTAAAAATAATTAGACGAGTTTATTTTGTGAAAAGTTTGACTTTGGCATTTAGAGGGTTGAATGCATGAGTGACTGTAGTTTTATTCACCATGACTAGCCCATATTTGTTACTTTGACTGAAAACAAATCAATGAGACTTAACTTGACAAATCATTAAAATACCTTCATTCAACAGAGTGACCTGTCAACATCAGTCATTATACATTATTTATTGTTCATAATATATTCTTAATGAATTTAAAAATTTATTCCACAGCAATTCCATCACTGATGTAAAACATTACTGAATCTCCTTTTACAATTTTCTTCTTCCCTATTTTATTTATGGCTTACCGTATGTTCACTATTAGATTCAAATCTGTACGTGATATGCGCGTGAGCCTACAAATTGTGTTTTTGTTGAATTTTGAGTAACCCAAATTCACTTATACTTTTAGAGCAAATACAGTAGGCCATGTTAGTTAAACATTATCTGGTTTTATATGAATGTGCTCGTTTAAAAATAATTTGCATTTTTAAAAAAACTTTAATCAAATTTGTTATGTTTTTCAGATCGAAGTTTTGCTGCTAGCAACCCTGGTTTAAGGCATTTCCTAATGGCTACTTGTGGTGGTGATAATCTTGTCAAACTCTGGGATTTATACACAGAACCAGGTACAAATTTGCATTTCATGATATTTTTTTGTATATTGGACATATTTTTAACTCTCATGTGTGAAGCACACAATAGGGATCTTTGTGATTACCCTGTCTGTGTGTATGTATATTTGTTCCATCGATTACTAGATTTCAATGAAGCTTGTGATATAGATGATCTAGAATCCACAGATTAATTTTTGTTTGAAATTCATGCATATTAATTACCTAATTTGCAACATGATTAGCCAATTTTCAGCTAGACAATCCTCCGTGAATTTTGAACACTGTACATGTCAAATAGGACATGTATCCTGTATTGCTATGACTGCGGTAGTTTCAAAATTATGTCTTTCCTAGTAATGTTACAATAGTGCAGGTAATATTGTTCTCTATACTAGCAAGTATATGCAAACACATTTGGTGCAGTGCTTTCTAGTTACACTTACCCTGAAAATTGTGGTCACCTGACTCACTGTGGTCACCTGACTCACTGTGGTCACCTGACTCACTGTGGTCACCTGACTCACTGTGGTCAACTAACTGAACATGTTTGTATTGTTTTGTTGTGTCATAGTTGATTCCAATTTTGTGTGAACAAAGGATACTTTGCATGGGACCCACACTGTGCTGAATGTGGCACTTATAATTTAACTTGGGTCTGGCAACAAGTGCTGTACACTGTGAGTCAGCTCTTCTGTCATGTTACTTGTCTGAATAAAATGTATCTGTGTTTTCAGATTGTACAGTAAAACTACGCTGTATATTAGAGGGTCACTCTGGCACAGTCATGGCATGCACTTTTTCTCTGGATGGTAAAATGCTGGCTTCTGGGTAAGTCATTTCACTCCATTTGGGCCACGTACACATCTAAAAGGCTCTAGTTGTTCATATTTTAAGTATGTACTAGTAAAAGCGGGGGAGTCGTCACCTGCGCCTGCGTCAGATGGCCATAGCGTGTCATTGTTTACAAACAAGCGTCTACCCATGAGCCTTTTTAGTCCCCGTTCGGACGTAGTCCGAAAACGGGGACTTATGTTTTGCCCTGTGTGCGTCCGTGCATTTGTGCATCCGTGATCACCTGTATCTCAAACATGCATAGACCGATTAAGTTCAAACTTCACTCATACATTACACATTATATGGGACATATGCACATGCATTTTTTTTATGATCCGATCATCGATAGCCGAATAGCGGCCATTTTAAGGCCGAAAATGCATCAAAATCGCACATTTTCACCATTCCAGACCCGGATCTCAGTTATGCATGGACGGATTTTGTTCAAATTTCGTACATACATTAAACATAATAGGACCTTGATGCACGTCATTTTTTTTTTTGGGGTCGGGTTTGAAATGGCCGACTGGCGGCCATTTTGTTTTAAAGAATTCAGCTCTGGATCCATATCTGAGACATGCCTGGATTGATCGAGTTCAAACTTCACACACACAAGGTACATCATGTCACAAATATGTATGTGCATTTGTTTCATGATCTCATTAACGATAGCCAAATGGCGGCCGCTTTAAGGCCGAAAATGCATTGAAATCGCACATTTTCACCATTCCGGACTCGGATCTCAGTTATGCACGTTTTCTTTATATCTCATTTTCTCAGAAATTCTGCAGCAGATATCGATGATACTTGGCAGGTTGATGAACAAGTCTCTGTTGAATATGTACGCAATTTTTTTTTTCCAGATCTGAAAATCTTAAGTGGGTCTTTTTCATGATTTTCATCCAAAATTACCTCTCAACACTGACAGACAACTCAGTATGCTCAGAATAAATAATTAGCTGACAGAAATGGACCACAGTTTTTGACTCTCATGTGCGAAGCACAA